GCTCGGCCCGCACGGCGGGGTCCGTCTCTGCTTTCTTTCCCCCTCAAACCGGCCGTGACCCGCGGGGACGGGGACGTCTCGGTTACCCACGCGGATGTCCAGCGTTGGAGCTCCGCGGCCTGACGGCCTCCCGCGTGTGACAGTTCAGTTGCGAGTTGCAAGGAAAACAACGGCAAATCGCATGAGAAAGTATTTCCTTTTTCTCCCTGCGATTTCACACGTTAATATCACCGCCTTCCCTCTTGAAGTTTTACGAGGATGCAGGGAGCAGAGGGGCTGGCAGCCGCCGCCACGCTGCACCACAGACCCCAAGGACAGCACTTTCTTTTCATCTTTCTAGGAGTTTTCCCAGGCCCTCTTCCCATCACGCTCTGGACCTCTTCTATCTACAACACCCAGCTCCTCTTGAACTGGCCCCTGTGAGCAAACGGGATTTCCTGAAGCTGCGGGTGGCCCCCCTGCTACCTGCCACGGGGCTGCCAGAAAACATAAGCCAGGTCAGGCTTTCCTCCCGGTCTTGCCAATTGACTTTTCCACCCCCGAAGTGACATTTGTCATTCAGCGCAAGCATCGGAAGCGTTTAATCTGCACCGCTCCTTCATTCGGACAGTTTCTAGAGATAACATCATTTTTATGTTTGCCACAGCTATCCGAGATCCCTTTCAGCTCCCGACAAGCCAAAGCAGAAAATTTAATTGTAGCAAAGTTAAAAGGTTTGGTTACAAATTTGAAAATTACAAAAGAGATGCAGAGAAGCAACAAAATAAAAGGCCACCATGTTAAAAAAGCCCCAGCATGGATCCCTGCTTCAATGGCCCCCAAGGTTTGCCTGAAGCATCCCTCTGCTCTGAAAGCAAAGAGAACAAACCCAATTAATAGAATGTTAGTTTCCAGATGGGACATCACTCCTTCCTCCTGGGTCTGTCTGGGGATTTTCTAACCACTATGGAATAAAGTGGAGATTTCAAAATGTGTCTCAGAAAAATCCCTGTGTTTCTCCCCGCACTACGCTGCAGCCTTGGCTCAGGGCTGTGATGCCTGTAGCGGCGCCAAGGGAAAAAAACCTCCATGGCTGTAAGGCATCAGCCCCCGCGAAATGTGGAGGGACCCCCGCAGCACGACTTCATGGGTTTTCCTGTTTACTAGGAAGTTAAATAAATGGCCTCCATAAGCTGACACGGTCGTGGCTTTCAAATCACACTGAAAAGTTGTTTTTCTCACGGTTCAAGGGTCTTTTTCTCTACAGCTCCTTACATGTCTCAGGACAGGATAAGCAAAGAGCGCCCATGCGGGGGCCTGTGCAGCCTCTCACCCCATCCCAGCCCTCCCACATGTGTCACACCAGGAGCTTCTGCCACCTCTGGTAAGATGGGGAGCAAGGCAGTCCCCCTTTTTCACAGTCCCTGTTCTCTCGGTGCCCTCCCACCATGCTTGTCTTTCTAATTTATTTTATTATCATTTTCTGGCCACAGAGGGGGAGCAAGCAGAAGCACTCGTGAAGAGAGTTGTGGTTATATCCTGCTCTCTTTTGACCCATCAGTGTAAGCTGTCTCACTTTATACTTGCTGAGCTGTACGATACCATTGCCTGCGTTTTACAGCGGAACCCCAAATTTCATTTCTCATCTTCGCTTCCATCATTTTGGCTCCAGTTTCTCTGAAGCTCTTCAAAGCCCTCTTTGGACCAGAGTCAACCTAAATAACATGTAAATAATTAATCATTTAAATAAATAACATGCCGTCTGCAAATAGCAACTCACTCTGTACGCGGGTTAATAAATATGTTAAATAACCTGGGCCAGAGTACAAAACCTTGAGCCACTTACTGCCAACGTTTTCGGGGAAGAAAAGCATCTACTGATATTTACAGGAGCAGCAGGATTATAGCTCCATTGACTCTCAACCCTGCTGCTGCACAAACACAGGAAGGAATGATGGTCCCCGAGTCCTGTGAGGTTTTTATTTAAAGTAGAAGAAATAAAACATAAAGCAGCGGAAAAGTCAAAGCTGCACTGGTCAGTGGGATAAGCAGCAAACACTGATTGGAGCAAAACGCTTTGGAGCCTATGCTTTGTCTTCTCTTGGCCCATCTCCATCCTCCACCCAGGCTCAGGCCACTCGAAGAACTGCTGGAAACAGCCCCATAAACTGATGGATTCTGGGGGGCCAGAGGCATTATTTGCCCTAAAGATTCAGGAACAGCCCAATTTAAAAAATCACAAATATGGGAATGAAATAGGAAAATGAACTGCAAAGTATCAAATGCTGAGAGAAAACCAAGAGGGATGATCCAAGGCACCAAACGTCTTCTGTGGAGGCCCTGAGCCAGGAGAGATGCCACCGAGAAGGTGGGCGTGATAGATTTCTGAAACCGCACTAAAAACATGATGAAAGCGACTTTCACTGCCTTTTCCAGCCCAAAACCAACCTGTGCACATCAAATTAACCTGGTGACAGCAGGGGGCTGTGGGGACTGGAAGTTTAAGCAGGTTCAGAAAGCAATTTGATAAAATTCATGGGAAAGAGTCCTCAGAGCTTCTACTGAACAGCAAAGCGCAGGCTTGCAGCTCAGGACAACACTCCAGGAGGAGCTGGCACTGCCTGCCTGTGCCCCCTCCTCTGCCTGGCCCGGCTGCACCCAGCTGGGCCCGACCCAAGATAACCCCTGGTTTAAAAATTAATAAGAGATTGGAGGAGGCCTGAGAGAGAAATGGTGTGTCCACAGGACTCACTGGTGGTTAAAGAAAGCGCTTAGGCCACAGACAGTGGTGAAAAAGCCAGATTGTATCTTCACGTCCATGAGCAGGCAGAGCCGGGAGGTGCCTGTTACAGAGGATCTTTCTGTTTTAAAAAAAAATTATCAAAACAACAATAACAAACCCCCCTTATAGCGATCGCTGCGGAGCTCAGCAGACGCTGCAAAGGGCGATTTAAGGAGCAAAGCCCCCCAGGCCGGGGTGAGCTCTGCGGCAGCCCAGAGGAAAACAACCCCCCGCAAAAAATCCCACCCGGGGCTGAACACGGTCCCTCCCTCCCTCGGGGGCCGCGCAGCAACCGCGCTCCCTTCTCCCAGGCCAAGCGTGGGGGGCGCGCTCAGCCCAGCC